GTATTGTTTCTGCATTCTAAAACTTTGATGCAGTGTTAGAACAAAGGCAAGGCGAGTGACACTGGATGCCATAATATGCATTATTAACTTAAGATACGCCTTTCAATTCACCAATTTCCAGCTAGTTCACGGTTTACAGATATGTTTCCACACAAAAAAATGTGTATTAAGGGAACACAAATGTATTTGAGTAGCTAAACTATTCTGAATATTGCAGTATATTTATTAATTAAACTGACTTGGGTGTCTAGTATTAGTGGAAACATAATACCTGCATACTGGATCCAATTAAAAAGGATTAGAGAGCAGAGGTTATTGAGTATTCCACTAAACAGCTCTGTATGGCTAAATTTCATTGCTCATTCATTTAAATATTTCACAATATTAGTTCTGGAAAAGGTAGTGCACGTGTATTTATGTTTGTATGATAACAAAATCATGGAAATTCCTATGCTCCTCAGCGCCATCTAATGGCACTAGTGCAGTGCGTATGGCATTCACCCTGCCATACGCTGGTTGAAAGATTTGTAAATCAATCATAATAATAGTCAATCAATAATAATAATTGTAAAATAGTTGTTTTACCCTACAACAAAAAGTGCCTGCACAAGGTCCTATATGATACGATCAACAAGTAATAAAGCTACAGATTAAAAAATATTAAATTATGAATTAGTCATTTAAAAGTGAAAAGAAAAGTGAGTCCAACCCAGCTCTGCTGCCTGGCAGGGTTGTATACAGCTCACAACTGGATGGGCAGAAATATGAATTATTTAGCACGTAGAACATTCCCATGTATGTGTTTTAACTTGTTCATTTCCTGTAACTGAGGTGCTCAATCCCACAGCTCTTATGCCAAACATCTCATTTCTGTGGATCTACGGTATGTGCTATTACACCAAGACATTAAACGCATGAGTTAAATCCTGTGATGGACTATAATCTCATACTAATTTGTATTGAAATTATAGTCTATCACGGGACTGAGCTTGGAGCAGTGGCTACTTTACAAAACACACAGGGACTATGGGGAACAAAAGTAGCCATCCTCCAGAAGGAAGGACAGTGTCACTACCAATTCAGAGATGATTTGAGGGTCTACAGCTGAGTGATACACAAATAAGGTGCAGTTTCATTATGAGTTAAGGTACTTGAATGCATTTCCAAGATTTAACTCCTGAGTTTAGTCTCACTATAATTCACATTACATACAGTATATAACAAGCCGTGTCCTGTCATAAACTTCTCTAGATTCAATCGTAGAGAGAAATCTCTGTGATGTATGTCTGTCTGTTATCACTGTATAGCCAATAATCCCTATAATAAGTCCTTAAAGTGATAACTGTGTTTTCATCAATTTATATAAAACAACGTTTTTAATGTGTTAAACTTCTGTCTTCAATCCGTGCAACAGTAATTTTCTAATGCACCTCAACCACAGTGTTTCTTCATACATATTACTTCTGTGATCATTGGGGTTGGGTGAAATCAGCAGATGTACAGTTAGCCAGCAGATAAAGGGTGCACAGCTGTTGCACCACTTCATTACCTGCACATCTGCTTCATGCAGACCTCTGATCGGAATAGAGGCTAATAGCGATGCAGACTCAGCACAGCGCCTAGTTGTCACATGCAGGGACTTAACTTGTAGCACTCTGTATTGTACCAGTAAGGGATGTATGAGCTGAAGAGGTCTGCATGGGTGGGGTAGGGAGTTAGCGAATAGTAAGAGCCTGGCACAGCAGCTGGTAGAGGTAGGATATCTATGGGGGTGTGGGGATGGCAGCATCTTGACCACAACATATAATGTAAAACTATATATATATATAACTATATAATATATACAACAGAATAGATGTATGTTCAGACATATTTTTTTGTGAACCTGATTTTTAACCATCACTTAAAATAGAGAGATTACATATGAAGATATTTGCACTATTGACAATTAGAATATTTAAAGTCTTTGAAAATGTTCTACTTGTGACTCAATCTGCCAGCCTTCTGTGTTTCTCCCTCTTCCCAAGTAATTACTCTGTAATGAAACAGGCCTAATGAAGGCTCAAGAGTGGCTGAAACTCAATCGAGAAGAATCTAGAGTTACTGCTCCTTATCTACATAGCAGTCAGGCTAGTTTTATAGAAGGATGTAGCCACTGTGCCGAGCCTCTGTCTTTCAGTGTGAATTATTAAGGGATTTTCTACAAGAGAACACAACTTACACATCATGCAGTAAGTGCAAAAGTGGGCACATTACAGACCAAACTACTTTTCCAAAGAAACCACAATTCTGTTATCACTTTGAAGATGGAGAAACAGGTAATCTTGGTGTGCTTTATTGTGCTTTTTAAAATTGCAAAATGTATATATATGCTTTGAAATGTAAACCTGGCAAAGCACTAAACTGCAGTTTAGGGGATGTTGCTAAAAGGGAAAAAATTACACTGCATGCTCATGAAGGCTGTGTTCATGTCAAACATCCAATCTGAAAAGGTTTGACAAAGAAGGCAAGGATGTAATAATTTCCTAACTGTGTGTTTGAAGAGAGCAAAGATTTGCAGGGATGGCATAAAATGTACTTTAACAACTTGTTCCCTGAATATAAATATCGGGGAAAAAAGATGTACTTCAGTTGCATTGGAAATTTCTGCTTTTCATCAGAAATCATTGAAAAATAATCTGTTGCTGTTTGGTACATTTTCTGTAGTCATGATCCATTTATATTACCGGAAAACTGCCTTTTATGCAATTAAAAGACTGTTTATTTAAGGTATTGTTATATATGCCTAAATTATTGTCAATGCGGATTGTCAACTGGTGGTAGGTTACAAAATATTTCAATATATAGAGGGTTATTCACAAAGCTAGCCGAAGGATGAGCCGTAGCTGCTGTACGCACTATTCACTATAGCCCATACAGCTCCCGAAGCTGGCAGAGCAGCTTAGCCGAGCCGAAGGCATATGCTTCGGCTCGACTGAGCCAAAGTGACACCCTAAGCGGGCCAAAGCCTCGCAACTGGCAGCTGGGTGGAGCCAGCCGTGATCTCACGGCTGGCTCCGCCCATTTGCAATGACAGATCAGCATCCCCAGGTTACCTGGGGACGCTGAACTGTCATTAAACAATGACAACTGTTTGGAGCCGGTCGTGGTGTCAGGGCTGGCTCCGCCCAGTTGTTATTCATTGGCCAGGACCTGCTAGAAGACTCTAGCAGGTCCCAGCCAATAGGAAACAGTTGGGCGGGGCTAGCTGTCACTGCTTGCTCCACCCAATTGTTTTTTTGTGTTTTTAAGAAATCTTTATTTATTTTTTTAGATTTATCATTTGTTTACATTTTGAAAAAAAAGAATTCTACTTTTTTCACTGTTTTTTTTCCCCACTGGTTTTCTATTCTGCTAGGTACCACGGAGGTACCGAGCAGAATAGCCCTACGTGACTAGGGGGCGAACAGCAGCGAGCGAGCTGCCGGAGCTGTAGCTCAGCCGATCCAAATGTTGGATCGGCTGAGTCGAACTCCTTCTGCACTTTGGCTCAGCCGAACATGCTGAGCATGTTTGGCTGAACCAAATCCTGCCGAAGCAAGCCGATGTACGGCTGATTTCAAGTCAGCCGTACAAGCCTGAATTGAAGAGCTGAGCAGCATTCGGCTCACTTCACTTCAGGTGGGTTATTCACTCGGCTGCCTTCAGCAGCTTTGTGAATAACCCTCATAATATTAGAATGCATAAGTGCTCTAACAATTGAGTTGCTAAAGTTTCTATGACATACAGATTTTAGTAGGCTAGCACGTGTGCATCACTATCTAATTCTGTAAAACTACTAATATAGTGGTACATGGGAAGAAGTTACTAATGAGCATACAGTGTGCATAGGTCTCAATTAATCCTTTTTTTTCAGTCCATACCTCTCTGTCCCTACTTTCTCAAAAACTGTTCTTTTTAACTTGCCATATTAAAGAGAATCTGATCATTTGGCAGGGAATTGACAGATTCTCAAAAAAGTTTTTCACATGACATGCACAACCAGTATACCATGTATGTCCGCTGACTGCACATAATGCCAAGGTTCATCCCCTCTGGTCTGCTAATAAGATCTTTCACCCTCCATATACGGTGAAGATGATCAAACAGCAGCACTCAGAACACTTGTACTGTTAAATGTATTTATTGCTGTGTATGACATGCAATAGGTTATGTGTGTAGATCTGTAGCAATAAATGCATGACTAGCTATAACAATTATTACTGCCATTGGATCCAACATTATACTTCATCTCATGGACAATTCTATGCCATAAAAATTTTTTTAAGGTTATTAAAAATAATAAATGCACACATACTGTATTCACGTTTTTTACATTGTAGCCAGTTAAGCATTTGAACTGCGATCAGCGGATTGCAGGCTCCTGCAGATTCTGCCTCTTGTCTCTGTCCGTACCGAGGTACGGAGATTCAGTAACAGTGACTGGAGGAAGTGTCAGTGGAATACAAGTGAGCTGACATCACCGCACTTTATTTGCATTGAGAACCACAAGTCCCTCTGCTGTGGTGACAGACAGAACTTCTAGTTTCTCCATTCACAGATCCTGTCAAAAAACAGCAGTAGCCCGCGGGAATAAAGAATCCCTCGATTCAGGTAAGTGTGGGGGTGGGATGGCAGTGTTGTGACCATATTTCATGTTACACCGTGAATATGCCTGTCAGAGGGACTGTTCAGCTGCATAACGTAACCTCCTTCTGTGTTCTGGGACTACATGTCCCATCGTCCCTAGTCTCGCCTTCCTGTCTCGGACACAGTTGTGGTCGCAATCGTGGGGAGTGGTGTTTTGCTTTCCTACAGTTTGTAAAGCGGCAATAGCAGCACATGACAAAAGGGAGGTGGAGTGGGTAATAGGACAGGTGGTTTAACAGAGCGGGATTGTAATAATCCCACAACTCTCTGATGTGATAACAAAGCATAACAGTGCTGTATATTATACAGGGGTGGTGATGTGACTGGTCCCCATGGAGGTAACGATCAGACAAAAGCAGTTAGTCCCCCGGACAGGAAATTGTGATGAAACTGCTTATAATCTGTAACTTGGAGTTAGGATATTGCTGCATCGGTCTCAGTTATGGTTCTGCGGAATGCACATAGGAAAAAGGTACATTATTTCAGATACACTGTTAGTTATCAGTTTTGACCAGAGTTGGACTTTAAACCTACAAAATTAAAAATTAGGAAACTATTTAAAAGAATATAAATATTAAAGACTACTGTTGGTTTATGAAAACCCATACAAAATGCTGACTGTCACTTATTCACTATATGTATTAGTAAAGTAAATATGTGGACAATATGTTACTCCTTTGCTATCTGTATTAGGAAGGAAAAATTGTAGACAATACATTTCTTTGGCTAATTGAAAGTTTGCACCCCAAAATATATTCAGTTAGCCAACTAAAGGTATTGCCCACTTTTTTCCTTTCCTGCAGCTATGTATGGTTAATACTGTAAATGCTTTACCACTAACTAACTGTATTGAAATGCTAGGGTAGGTTTTATGTGTGAAAACTTTGGTACCAAAGTATAACCTTCTTTCTTCAGAATGTTGAGTGTAAAAACATCCTTCAACTACAAAACAAGAGGAACATGCCATCATAGTAAAAAGTTCCCAAGCAGGGAGTTCTTATTGTACAAGTTTTCAAAACAGCAGAAAGCAGCAGTAAATTGATTCACTTTGGCGCCCGGAAGGGTGTTCTTTTAATGAATGTTTTCACCTGTCTCTTTTCGTTAAACTTGGTAGAGGAGAGGTTCAGTGGAAGAGTGGGAGCCTCGAGAGGGAGGGAAAATCATTGGCAGGTGGAATAGCTTGTCCCATGTATTGAACTGTCTCTCTCTCTGCCTATGTCTTCAGCAAATAAGAAGGGAAGGCTCCTAACAATTCTCTATTGTTTCCCATCATCTTAAAATGAGTGTCAGATCACACAGGGGGTGCTTTGACCGTTAACTGCACAATTTAGCCCTCCCTCCCCACCTTGTGAAGGGCGGGCTCTTCATCTTGGACTTTCTCAGCTTAGACAGCAAGAGTTAGGGAAAAAGAAGCAGTCTTGATCCTACAGAATGAGCTTACCCTGAGTCTTTGTCCACAGACTGCCCAGTGTGAAATCCACAGCGACATTAAATGTTTTCTAATGAATAATTACTCAAAGGGAATTCAGCAATATATGTGTAATGGATTGTACAGCGTTAAAACGTTTTATACGGAGTACAAAAAATGTTATCCGTCACAAGCATGGTAATTGTTGTGGGGGAGCTTTTGTAATGGAACGAGGGAGGGGGTTATGAATCTGAAAAGCTGATCTGATGGTTTGACATTCCAAAACAAGAATCAAAGGCAGGCTTTGGCAGCAAAGTAGGTTTTCAAGAGGCCGGTCAGAAAACCCGTCCTGCATTCTCAACTGCAAGGAATGAATGATTTCCCTCTTTTTCTACCAGTTAGTCTACAAGTTCCCAGTGTTTAGAACCACTAAATCATACTTTAAATTGGTTTTAATAACATTACATTTTTTTTAATTTAATTGTATCTTCATACTATATAAATAAGCATAATATTCAATGCATTCTACCTACACATAGTGAATACAAAGTACTTAGTTATAAAATATATAAATGTGCATGTATGTGTGTTTATACAGTATATACCTGCAATTATACTAATTTTTATAAGTCTCAGATCTCTTTACTGTGTTTGCATAGAATTCTCAGATAGACATTAAACAATGAAGTTGTGTAAAGGATCACTCAACCTTAAAAAAGTTGCTTTGTGGGAAAAAGCTACTCATAATGTTTGCAACCATGTATGTAATTGTTCTCAAGGCTGTACAGTGACATTGAACATTTATATACATATGCTTGCAGTCTTTTGTTCTACGTTAGCTGCTGTCATTCCAGGTAAAAGGAATCAACATTGGGTACTTTTTACCCTATAGGATTACTGTCTAAGAACTGGATAGTCCCCAGTATAGGTTGTCCTAGGATGTCTGTATAGTCCTTTGTATGGCAATGGGTGAATATGGAAAGGTTGCCTATAGCACATGCTGAAGGGCAGTCAGAATGTTTCTGAAAATCTGACAGCCCGCTGGTGTTTATAGCTTACCTTTGTAAGGTGAAGCTATTAGCTGGCCATACACGTTAGACAGTAGATATCCATTAATGATCTTACTGCTGAAAGATCACATATGTTACACATATTCAGTTAGATTTAGGAAACACTGTATAGTCTATGATCGATCCTGCTCTATTGACAATAGAGGGTGATGAGGAAATGATAGAAAAAATTGTATGTTTTAGCACATGTATTTTAAGTTGCATTCATGCTTAATTACTATTTTTACCACATAATAATTATTATTTTTACCAAATCGAAATAAACCAAATAGGATATGTACCTACGTAGTATTTGATTTTAAAGATTCATTATATCTATTTAAAGATAAACTTTACCCTTATCTTAAAAATTACAACAAAGACACCTTTAGAATTTTTTAGCTATGGCAATTTACAGATACTTACAGATAATTGCAGTCTTTTTACCTTATAGCCTTATTTTTCTTTTCCTACCCATTCTTCTCATGGTGGCCATTTTCACTAAGGGCAAATTAATTTATTACATTACGTTACTTCCTGGAACTCTGGCACATTTGACTGGAACATGTGACATGCACACCATCTCAGGGGGGGGAAACTGTCTTTTCCTGAGATCTTGCAAAATGTTACAGTTTATAGATGAGATTTTCCAGCAATGCACTGTGATGTAACCTTCCCAGGATGCATCTGTGAGGTCAGGGCTACATCACCAATGCCCAAGGGTACCAGGAAGTGGAAAAACTGTAATTGTAAGTAAAAGCAAAAAAATGTTTGTTTAGCTAACAAATGTAAGAGGATTTCATATCATGCAGAGCTGCAGGCAGATGGGATTTTTTTTGTGAAAGGGGATAATGAGACATTTCACTTTACTTCATGCCTGCTCCTGTCAGTAATAGCACATAGCAAATAATGTCTATCATATAATTATTATGACAAACACTACAGGAAATGTGGCAGTGACCAGGTAAAATCATGTTAACATTTATCAATCCACATTCTTGTGCAGTAGATAAAAGTCAACCCTGTTGTCAGGTTGTATAGCAATACCATATGTTATGTTACTATGACAAAGTATGTTCCAGTTTTCAGGGTTTTGCTGCTTTATTATAAAAACAATGTTCAGTTCTGGTAGTATCTGATTCCAAATAGCACCTAAGAGAGAGAAATATGCACTTAATTGTTGTTTATATGTAATTTTTTTGTGTGGATAATAAAGTAGTGTGCATTCTCAAATAAGAAAATCTGATTGTCCCCACTTTTTAGATGTTCATAAACATTGAATGGCGGTTAAATAAGATACGTTGAGTTCCTCTTTAAAGAACAGTCAAATCTGATTTGTACAAGAACCCTTATCAGCAAAAGTTAACTTGGCAGACAGAGAAACTGATAGAGGTGCTTTGTGGCACATTGATGGAAAATTGCTGCAGTACCCAAGGTAAAATTGTGGAAACGTCTCCATTTGGACAGGCTTAAACAGCCATCTCTGAACTGTCAGATTTAAACTTTAACAGGGTTATTCACAAAAGGTGAAGAGTTTGGAGAAGGCCAGAGAAGTGAACAATCTAGGACAACATAGCTGAACTCGAAAGTGAGCTGAATGGGAGAATTTTTCCAAATCAGCTATTTTGTCCTAGAGTGTTTACTTCTCCAAACTCTTCACCCTTTTGTGAATAACCCTGTAAGTGGATCATGGTAGGGCCAAATGTATCAAATACAGAAAGTAGGGAATAGTGGTACATTTATTTATTTATATATGGAAGTACTGTATATACTGTAATTTCTACTTAATAAAAGGAAATTACTGGCTTTGAGACATTTGTATTAATTAACTATAGGAACTATAGAAGTACTTTTTTACTGAGCACACTGAACCTGTGTTGACTTGGTACACCTTATTGTGTGTATAAGATTTTAAAAATAGGAATTTTCTTTACATCACTTGAGAGAACTCAAGTGAACAAAGCTTCATTGAGCAAAGAGAAAAATGTTCTACATTATTAAATCATCCCCAAACGTGCACCATTTTGTGTGCTTTACACTGAGAAAACTACAAATGTGATTAAAGGTTACTTGCAACACACGGGTGGTGATGCAGGACAAATAAAAGTTTTTGGTATAAGTAATCAGTTAGAAATGATGCGTACAGCTGAACTCCAGGGGAGAAATCTGACATTACCCTTGCAATGGTTTGTGTGTGATTGGCAGTATGTGCTGAGCAGAAATGCGGAGAGTGTACAGAGGACTTTAGAAAGTAGGAATAGGTCAAATCAGTGTCCAAAAAATGAGCCCAATGAAACTGAGAGATTATTCTGGGGTAGTTGGTGCGGAGGACTGTGTCAGTGGAAATAAAGTAGCATTAAACTCTCAAACTTCTTTCAATAATGAATGCAGACCAAACAAATATACATTGCCCAGCAAAGTATTTCCTTGAGTATATGAGTAGCTCCCCACAAACAGGTGTATTAGAGAAAATAAATTATATGTGCCCATGAGTGAGGCTTTTTTAGAGGTACTAATTGAAAAATTTGTTTGGGATAATAGACAAGTGTGGTTTATTTAAATTCTGTGTGCATTTACTCACTTTTATGTGGTTGCAAGATATCCAAATGTATCACCTGTTGAGAGTTTACTGTCGCAGAATATTATCATACTGATCAGTATGTTAATACTGGAGTTAAAGGAGAACTAATGGAAAGTGAAATGCACTCATCCCCTTTGTTAGAACCCATGTGTGACACTTCAGATGTCACAGGTTGGCTCTATTGATCGAGAACTGAGCGATCAAAAACCACTGATTGCTTAGTTCAAGATCTTCCCCCTGCAGAGAGGTGACTTAGGGTGACTCCCTCCTCCTTCCGTTTCCCCAGCGCTGACTGGTGGG